TATTATAGTATATAATCTGCAAAAAACCCTGAATCACTATGCTTTACACCTGAAACTAGCAAAACGTTGTAAATACTTAAAAAGAACTACTGTTTTCTTACTGATTTTCTGTCTGGATAATCTGTCCTTTGATATAAGTGGGGTGTTAAAATACCTTACTATTGTGTTACTGTATTTCTCCCTTAATATCTTTTAATATTTGATTTATATACTTAGGTGCGCCTATATTAAAGTGCATATATGTTAATGAATGTTATATTCTCTTTTGTATTGATCCCTTTACCCTTATATAATTCCCTTGGTCTTTTGTTATAGACTTTGTAGTTTCTTGTTAAAATTTTCACTGTATTCATCTATCATTTTCCCTAATTCATTAGCATTCTTTTTACTAATGCTTTGAAATCTTTATCTGGTAAATTATTTACCTCTGTTTTATTAGTTGTTTTTCCAGGTTTTGCCCTCATTATTTTATTTGAAACAAATTCCTCTGCCTTCTCCTGTCTTCTCATTTTGCTTAATTTTCTCTCTCTAGGAAGTAAGATGAAGCATTTGCCTTTCCTTATCTTGAAGGTATATTCTTGCATGGGTATGTCCTTGCATGGGTGTGTCCCTATACAGTTTGTGTGTGCATAGTGACTTCGGTGGCAGAGCTGTATCTGAATTGAGTATGAGTTATGTCTTCCCCCAGGGTGTTTTGGGAGCTATCACCTTGGTGGGAGGTAGGGCTGGAGATGGAGGAGTTAGATCTAGGTGTGAGCTGAGGGTTCTCCTGTGCTCAGGAGTGAGCCGGAGGTTCTCTTCTCCTCTTCAGAGCTAGGTGTGAGCTGGGGGTTCTTCTGTGCTCAGTGGCTGACATTACCCTATAGGGGATGATGGGGTCAGGTCCCAAAGTGCTGGAGCAGCACTCCTGAGGGTTGAGTCCAAGTTGGCGCTGTTCGCATTAAATGTGTGCTCTCCCTTGTCTTAGCATCAGCACCTTCAGCCCAGAAGGGAGCAGTGCTGGAGGAGTAAGAATCAAAGTGTGCACCTGTTACTGGTGGGAACATGTGCTGGGGTGGTCCTGGTACACCAGTCAGAGTTCCAAATGCTCCTGATCTGCCTCTTCGGAGAGCACCAGCAGTGGCTGCCTCTATTTAGATGTATTTTTGGGTCCAGCCTGGCTCTGTCCCCATAACTGTGCACACTCTTTGGCAACAACAGCCTTCACCCTAGTTAGGGAGTTGTGCTGCAGAGCAAGAGGGGCTGGGATGGGCCCCCAGGGTGGGCTGGGGTGTCATGGGAAACTAGCCAGAGTCCCAGGCAGTCTCCTTCTGCTTCTTCCACCTTGTTTTGGGAGTGAGGTATTAGTAATTGAAAGTGGGATTTTGGAACAAGAATGATTGATACTTGGAACAGAATAATGTTCCAGAAATACATTGTTTATATTTATGAAACTAATATATGACATATGAAATATCTATGTAAACAATTAGAAGGAAATTAATTTAATAGTATAGGAGGAAGAATAATATAGATCAGTCCTGGAGTACAGTTCTTATAATGAATATCTTTTGTTTGACTTGGAGAAATAATTGAGTGGAAAGAGGTAGGTATTTTTCTCTGAGCCACACTGGTACGGGCTCGGTTTGGACTATGAGTCTATTGCTAAGATAACCCATTTTCCAAATCAGAGATTTGATTTTGTAATACTACATTCGGCAGGCTGGTACAACAATCCAAGACTGTGTAGTGGATTTGCTTCAGAATGTATCTTTTGACTCTTTATTTCATGATCTAGCCAAGATTAAACTTTTCCTATGAATGTGTGTATGTATGTATATGTATATGTACATATATAAAGGTAGAAATGTTAGAGAAGTATATGTATAATTTAGACAAAATAGGTAAGCAAAACAAGAGACAGGTTAAAATATCCCTATTCTTTTAACCTAGGTACAACCATTTTTATTTGTATGCTTCACACAAAAAAATGGAATCATGGTATAAATACTATTTATAATTTTTCTATTTAACATAGTATGAAAACTGTCAAGTTAAATATGTGTAAAATTTAAAAAATTAGTATTTGTCTCTATTAATATGTTGTTTTTCAAAGGTCTTCAATCTTTCTTTGCCACTGATGAATTCTTAATTACTTGGATGTTTAAATGGTACAAAATTTAAAGAATAAGGAATAGTAAAGGGCATAATTGTTTTGAAGCTTACACTGACTAGTAATTTCTAATGTACCTGAAAGACACAGAGGATAATAGAATGAAACAGTTTATTAATAATATGTTTATTCTTTGTGATATGCCTGCAAATAGGTTATAAGCGTGAAAATAGACCCATGATCATAGGGAGAAAACTCCACTTTCTTTCAAGCCTCTTGCTTCTCTAGGAAATAGTAATTTTTTTCTTTTCTATTTCTACATTTATTTAAAAAATCACTTGAAAGCCAGCCTTGAATGAAGATAGTTATTAAAATGGAAAGCTTACACAGGTTCTCTCAATATGCATGAAACGCCCAGTTTCAAACAATGAAGGTTGTTGGTAATTTTAATGTTCTCGTCAATTAGTGTTAAAGGTTAAGAAGATGGGAGTGCTGAATGCTCTGAAGATTGAAATAATAGCAAGGGTCTTGATAGAGAATTTGTTAGGGAGTAGATGAATTGATGATGTTAAATTCTTAAATGCTCATGCAGTTAATTGTAGTTTTACTGTAAGTGATGACTTAGAGATTGCATACTTTTGATCTTAGCATTTGTAGACAGCTGTCTCATGTTACTATGTGGGTGTCTGCAAGGACTTAAGAAACTCTGGAACATGATTTTTTTCTCCACTGTGATGAAGAGTTCAACCTAGTAAATCGTAGGGAAGACCATTTTCTCCCCCACTTGGTACTTAAAGGAGGAAATATTGATTAGTTTTTTCTGTTTCTTAACATTTTCCAAATCCGTATAGCATTAAATGATAGAAGTTGTATGACTGCTTTGTTATTTGTTCAGAATTTAGTTTTCCATTGGGAATTTAAAATATTTACAGAATAAAAATATACATTGGTAATGTTACAAGTATTTATAAATATAACCAAATACTCTAATTAAATAGTATAATAATTACCAATGTCTTAGTCCTGTTCAGGCTGTTGTAACAAAAATACTACAAACTGGATACCTTAAACAACAGACATTTATTTCTTACAGTGCTGGTGGCTGCACAGTCTGAGATCAGGGTGCCAACATGGTCAGATTTGGATGAGGGCTCTTGTCAGGGTTGCAGACTGCCAACTTCTGTGTCCTTTCATGGTAGTAGGAGTGAAGAATCTTTCTGGGTTCTTGATTTATAAAGGCACTAATCCCATTCATGAAGGATCCACTTTAATGATCTAATCATGTACCAAAGATCTCGCTTCCAAATACCATGACATTGGGGATTAGGTTTCAGCATATGAATTTTTGGGGGCTATGAACTTTGTCTGTAGTAACCAGTAAGCAAATTTGATGTCTTTGGTTGAGATTAAATATATACATGTATGTACACATACAAATAGATGATGATACACACACACACTTTTATAGCTTGGGTTTTTTTTTAAACAACTGAAAAGGCTGATACAAGGCAGTATGTCCCCTTCCTTCATCCTTTGCATTTTTATGCACATTGTAGAATCACAAAGTGTCTGCTGGGATTTGGTTGATATTGCATAGAATCTTATGATCAATTTGGGGAAAATCTGTATCTTAATACTGTTGAGTCTTGGAACCATTAGTATGAGGTATACCTTTATTTATTAGGCTCTTTACTATATCTAATGTCTTACAGTTTTCTGTATAGAGTTCTTCCATATGTCTCTTAGATTTCTTTATAGTTACTTGACATTTTTGATGCTGTTATAAGTGGTGTATTTCTAAAATATTTCATTTTCTAATTCTTTGTTCCTATATAGACTTTAAAAAATTCACCTTGTATCTTGTGACCTTGCTACACGTTCACATATTTTCTGTATTGGTTTCAGTTTTTAACTTCTGATTGCCAGTTTTTATAAGTTTATCTTTCTACAAATTTATCTAGATTCTAAATTTTCAAATTTTATTATGAAGTTTTATCTAATATCCTTTTATATATCATTTAATTATTGGTTACATTAATGTTTTTATTGCTGATACTTTGTACCTTTTTTGGATCAGTCTTACGTAGATGTATATTAATGTCAATGTTTCTAAAGAGTTTCAGATTATAAGACTTGATATATGAGAGTGTACATCCTTTAAGATTGACAAAGCTATTCTTGTTTTTTTGTATTATGTAAATTTTGAAATCAGTTTGTCAGTGTCCTATTCTTTCTTCCTTTTCTTTTTTTTTTTTTTAAATGGAGGTACTGGGAATTGAACCCAGGACCCTCATGCATGCTAAATATGCACTCTACCGCTGAGTGATACCCTCCCCTAACAGTTTGTCAGTTTTCTAAAAATAAAAATACATGGGACTTTAATGGGTATCTAGATTTTCTCTGTTTTACATTTGCTTTTTATTTCATTAATCTTTATTTATTTTTATTGTGGGGATTCTGTTTCTTAAAGATAATCATATTTATTTATATAAAAATATCTTTCTGTCTGTAGTACATAAGAAGCTTACTCTATTTTTTTCTTTTTTTGAAGCTTACAATGTTTATTTTTTCTTAATTGTTACATACTTGCCACAAAAGGACGTATGAACACAAGCCATGCTGAAAGAGAGTGAAAGACTCTGTTTACAAAATGTTTTCACGCACATGCATCACTAAATAATAGTGATTTTGCCAACATATACTTTGGTGTTCTGAAGTACTAAATATTACCTTTCAAAATACAGATTAAGTTGGAAAGGACTTACATTTTTTGAAAAATGAATTAGAAAGGAGAGTATATATTTAAGAAAATTTAATGTTTAATTTCAGTGACACTGACCCTGTCTCAGTATTTAAAAATGCTAATTGATGTGTTTATCTTTGTTTTTCTAGTGATATGCAGCTTTCGAGGATCTGTCCCTCAAGGGTTGGTCTTAGAAATAGGAGAAACAGTCCAGATTCTTGAAAAGTGTGAAGGTAAGTATGGAACCATGAATTATAACACACAAATAGTGATTATTTTTTGCAGTATTATATGTATTTTGTAATACTAGTTTATAAGCAATCATTCCAAAGTCATAATTAATCGTGTTATGATACACTGGTATTTAAAATCATTCCTGATCTATGTTCAGCATAAAGCTATTTTGACTCTCCTGTAATAGAGTAGACAAATATTAATAGAGCCAGTAATTAAATAACTGTTGTTGGCTATCAGGACATGATTCTTACATACTATGTCAAATGATGATTTTTCATTTCCTATGGTCACATACTCTTCCACTTAAGACTAGCTGCATTTGAATAGAATTGAACTGTTATCAGTTCATTTCTATGTTTCTGTCTCATTGGCTGGATATGATCAGCCATAATTAAAACAAGGCAATAAATATGCTCAAATCAAGTTTGGCTTGACTACTAACCTTGTCCATGACATATTTGGATATTTCTCCTGTAATATTTATGCATTATTGAAAAATACCACATTCTTCAAAATTATGCACTCAAATCAACAATCTATATGGGAGAAATACAGCTATGGAAACATTACAGAAAATCAGAGCACTGACAACAAAATTGACACCATAGGAAATAACTTGGGCAGCCTAGGATAGCAATTTAGCATGACTAGAAACCATCTCAAATTATATAACAAGAGTGGAAATTTTGCCGTGGGAGCATGGAGATAGTGCTCATGGAACTGGAGCTCTGATCCACTTGGCTACAGTTCAGATGGATATGGGAGTAAGTGCAACCTACCGTGACTCAGGAACCACATAAGTCTGGGAGTCCACTTTTCTGGAAAGGAAGCTCTAGTGCAGTACTTATTTTAGTAATTTTCTTAAAACGGAAGTATAAATCAAAACCACTTCATGATGCTCTTAGCAAAATAAGAATATAATTTTCTTAATCTGATACAGAATATCTACTAAATAAATGCCTACAGAAAACATCATATTCAGTTGTGAAACATTGAAAGATTTCCCACTGAGATCTAAAAATGAGACTTATAAATTAAGACATTGTGGTTTGGGTGCAAAGACAGAATAATGACCGAGTAGAGGGTCCAGAAATAGATTGTCATGCTTATCATCCCTTGATATGTGAAAAAGGTGGTATTGCAGTGCAGTAGGGAAATGATGTTCTTTACACTAGGTGATGCTGGACCAGTTGGAATGAAAAATGATGGCCTTGTCAATAAATGGTATTGCGTCAGTATTGAAATCAGTGAGCCTGGAATCCTACTTCACAGCATATACTCCGAACTCAATTCCAGTTGGATGGTAGATATAAATGTGAACTGTAAAACAGTAATGCACCTTGAAGGAAGCATAGGAAATATCCTTTTTGACCTAGAGGTAGACAAAGATCTTTTATTGATGAGTTGTACTTTTATTAAAATGAAGGTCTGTTCAAGAGATATCATTAAGGAGAGGGGAAAGAATAAGTCACAGTGAGAGAGAGATTGGATAAAGGACTTGTATCCAGAGTGTATAAGGAACTATTGCGAATAAAAAATTAGAGGGAGAAGGGCAAAATGGCAGTATAGGAAGACCCTAAGCTCACCTCTTCTCCCGTGGACAAAGCAAATCTACACATGCACATAGAGCAGTTCTTCCCACTGAAGACCTGAGAGCTGATTGAACAACTGCTGTACACAAAGAAGGACCAAGTAGAAATGGGTAGAAAAGACGAAGACATGGTATCCACAGAAACCTCACCCCTGGTGACCTACAGTAGTGGGGGATGTAACTGGGGATCCTGAGCACAGATTTGCCTGCCCTTAGACAAGGTAAAAAAAAAATAGCAGTTTAATGGGCATCTAGACTATATAGGAAGAAAATCCATTTACTAACTCTAGAGCTTCTAACAAATTAACAGGGAACTGCTGGAGCCCTCTCTGAGGTCAGAGGCACCAGTGAGTGCCATTGTTTGAGTCTATCCAGAGCTCCTTTCAAGCCCACTCTAGCTCCAGCCATCCTGCAAAGATGACCTTGGGTGCAGTGTTCCCCAGGGACTACCTTAGCTTGGGCCTGATCCAGCCTAGACATTCCTTCAAGGCCACCTTGGATACAGCATTCCCCACGGGTTGCCCCTTGCCCCCAGCCCAGACCTGATCCAGTTCTAGTCATCCCTCCACCGCTACCTGCTGCTCTCCAGAGACTACGTCTAGCTTAGACCAGTCCAGCCCAGCCATACCTTGGCCTTGGGTGCAGCATTCCTCAGGGATGCCCCCTTGCCTGGACAGATGGCAGGTGCAAGCAGTCTGCACAGGTGATGCTCCCACATGAGACCATTCCTTCAAAACCAAGAGAGGTAGTAGCTATTTTGCCAGATTCATAGAAACAAAAACCAAAAGTCAAACAAAAGGAGATGGATGAGTACGTTTCAAATGAAAGAACAAAATAGGTGAGGGTATAGCTTAGTGGTAGAGTGTGTACCTAGCATGCGCAAGGTCATGGATTCAGTCCCCAGTACTTCCATTAAAGGATAAATGAATAAATAAAAACCTAATCCCCCCCCAAATTAAAAAAATTCTAAGAATTAGGCACTAAAGCAAGCCTGATGAACAAGTGAAAGAACAAAATAAAACCCCAGGAAAAGCCCCTAATGAAATGGAGAAATGGTCAAGGATGCTCTCTGAACTTGGGAGAAAAATGGAGGAACTCAGTGAGAACTTCAACAAAGACTTAGAAGAAAGAGCCAATCAGAAATGAAGAATACAGTAACTGAAGGAAAAAAATACACTGGAGGGAATCAACAGCAGATTAGATGATACAGGACAGGTAAACTATCTGGAAGATAGAATAGTAGAAATCATACAGTCAGAACAACAAAAAGAAGAAAGAATTTAAAAAACATGAGAGTTTAAGGGACCTCTGGAACATCAAGTATACTAACATTTGCATTATAGGGGTCCCAGAAGGAGAAGAAAGAGAGAAAGGGACAGAAAACTTACTGGAAGAAGTAATGGCTGAAAACTCATTTCTCAGCAGAAACTTCATAGGCCAGAAGGGAATGACAATATGTATTTACAGTACTGAAAGGAAAGAACTTAAAACCTAGAGTACTCTATCCAGTAAGGTTATCATTCAAAATTGAAGGACAGGTAAAGAGTTTCCAACACAAGCAAAAACTAAAGGAGTTCGTCACCACTTAACTGGCCGTACAGGAAATATTAAATATTAATTAAAAAATTTAAGTATAATATTAAGTTAGTTTCAGATGTACAGCATAGTGATTCAGTTATTATTTTTGCAGATTATATTCTACTATACGTTATTATAAGATACTGAATATAATTCCCTGCTATACTGTAAATTCTCATTGTTTATCTATTTTATGTAGTAGTTTGTATCTGTTAATCCATACTCCTAATTTGTCGCTCTCTCCTGCCTCTCCCCTTTGGTAACCTTAAGTTTGTTTTCTGTGTCTATGAGTCTATTTCTGTTCTGTATATAGATACATTAGAATTATATTTTAGATTCCATGTATAAGTGATTTCATAGAGTATTTGTCTTTGTCTGACTTATTTCACTAAGAATAATAGTCTCTAGGTCCATCCATGTTGCTGCAAATGGCAATGTTTCATCCTTTTTATGGCTGAGTAATACTCCATTTTGTACCACATTTTCTTAAGCCAGTCTTCTGGTGAGGGGCCATGGATTGTTTCCATGTCTTTGCTGTTGTGAATAGTGCTGCTGTGAAGACGGGTGCATTTATCTTTTCCAATAAGTGTTCAGTTTTTCCAGATATACACCCAGGAGTGGGATTGCTGGATCACATGGTAGCTCTATTTTTAGTTTTTTAGGGAACCTACATACTGTTTACCATAGTAGCTGCACAAATTTACATTCACACCGGTGGTATACAAAGATTCCCTTTTCTCCACACCCTCTCTAGCATTTATTATTTGTAGGCTTTTTTTTTTGTAGGCTTTTTGATAATAGCCATTCTAACTGGTGTGAGTGACATCTCCCTGTGGTTTTGATTTGAATTTCTCTAATAATTAATGATGTTAAGCATCTTTTCATGTGCGTGTTGGCCATCTGTATGTCTTCTTTGGAAAAATGTCTATTTAGGTCTTGTGCCCATTTTCTGATTGGGTTGTTTATTTTTTCCGTGTTGACTTGTATGAGCTGTTTGTATGTTTTGGATATTAACCCCTTGTTGGTTGTATCATTTGCAAATACTTTTTCCCATGCTATAGGTTGTATTTTTGTTTTGTTGATGATTTCCTTTACTGTGAAAAAGCCTTTAATTTTGATTAGGTTCCATTTGCTTATCTTTGATTTTATTTCTTGTGCCTTAGGAGACTGATCTAAGAAAATATTGCTATGATTTATGTCAAAGAATGTTTTGCCTCTGTTGTCCCCAGGAGTTTTATGGTGTCGTGTCTTACAGTTAGGTCTTTAAATCATTTTGAGTTTATTTGTGTTCGGTGTGAGGTAATGTACTAATTTCATTGATTAACATGTAGTTGTCCAGCTTTTCCAGCACCTTTGGTCAAAGAGACTGTCTTTTCTCCATGTATGATTCTTACCTCGTATGTTGTAGATTAATTGACTGTAGATGCATGGGTTTATTTCTCGGCGCTCTATAGTGTTACATTGTCTTTGTGTATCTTTTTGTGCCAGTACCATGCTGTTTTGATTACTCTAGCTATGTAGTTTAGTCTGAAGTCTGGAAGGGTTATACCTCCAGCTTTGTCCTTTTTTCTCACAATTGTGTTGGCCATTCTGGGTCGTTTATGGTTCCATATAAATTTTAGGATTATTTGTTTTTTTCTCTGAAAAATATCATGAGTGTTTTGAGAGGAATTGCATTAACTTTGTCGATTGTTTTCGATAGTATGGCCATTTTAATAATATTAATTCTTCAAATTCAAGAGCATGGGATATCTTTCCATTTTTTTAAATCATCTTCAGTTTCCTTTATCAGTGTTTTATGGTTTTCAGCATATAAGTCTTTTACCT